TAAGCCCCTAAACCCTACACCCCTCAACCCTAAACCCTGAACCCTAAGCCCGAAACCCTATGAAGCCAAAAAACACTCGACCTCTGGGGCTTCGTCTTCCGGACTCCTCCAAGGACCTCCGGGAGCGCGCGAAGCTTCAGGACTGGACCCTGTCGCTGAAGAACCTGAGGTGCGCAAGGGTTTCCTGAACAGCTCTACAGTCCTCGAGGTTCGTTGCAGGGCCCTTTTTTGTGGGTTTAGGGTTTAGAGTTTAAGGTTTAGGGTTTAGGATTTAGGGAAGCAAATCCGGGGATGGATCGAAGTTCCATAGGGGCGCGAGGGTAGATGGAGCGTTACTCATTGGAACGGGGGTTTTTGGCTTGACTGCAATATAATGGTAGAGGAGCTTCTACACTAAGCCCTAAACCTCCCTCAACCCTAAACCCTAAACGTCCCTAAACCCTAAACCCTCAACGTCCCCAAACCCTAAACCCTAAACGTCCCTGAAACCCTGATGCCTTAAAGGCACGTGCGCATGATCGGCGTGGGGGCCTTCGGGTCCGTACGCCTTGTGGAGCACGTGAAGACTGGGGCACGCAGCTCGGCAGACTGGGGCGAGGGGACCGCAGGAGTGTCAGGTTTGGGGTCTCGCGCGGGTTTCATCGAAGATGGATAAGCACAGAGCCTCCGCGACTGGAGATGGATCGGAGCTTTGACTTCGGGCACTCGAAAGCCTAGACTCAGAAGAGAGGGGGGCTACATTTGAGCTTCAGCATCCCGCCATTGCACTGTGCCTGCTTACACCCGAGTTGCCACCTGTGCTGCTTTGTATGGTCTATAACGGGTCGGCTCTCTCGTGTCACCCTCCCTCCCGGAATGCTCGGCCGTTGCCGCGAAGGATATGCGCTCAAGCGGATCAAGAAGGAGGATGGCCAGGTCAGGGGGCTACTGGGGAGCTTTCGTCCGCTAAACCCTGGGCCAAGCTTCATCCTGACAGCCTCAACCTCGCATGTTCAGGTTCCCATGGAGATTCAGGAGGAGTGCAACCTCCTTGGCATGGCGAGCCATCCTTTCGTCCTGCAGCTCGTGAGGTCCTTTCAGTCGCCCGGCCATGTGACTAGTATGGCCTATCGTTATTGCTATTGCTGCTATTACTGTGATACTTAATGTTTAGAGTGTAGGGCTAGTATGCCAGATCACACTACAGTACCCTTCACTCTACTGCTTCTTGGAGCCGTTTGCCGAGGTGTGCGGGTGCCGTCGGGGGTGGATGATGTCAATTCGTGTGAACACGCGGAAAGGTTATGATAGGCCTCTCTGCAAGAAACAGGAAAATGCAGCTGTATATCGTAACACGGATAGCTCACGACGAAATCGATGGGAGCTAATCGTTGTGTGCCACGGGTAGATGCAGTAGACATGTACATGGAAGATTGTGTTGGGATGGTGGGTTAGTATTCTGACAGGCAAGTAGATCGACAGATCGAGTGGTGCGCAGTCTTGCGTGTTCATGTGCAACGTTGTCTTGCAAGTCTCCATAGAAGTCGATCATCAAACGTGCTGTGGGAGTTTGTAGAACATGAGGCACAAAAATTCAGATAGTACCCTGTCAGCGAACCCCCACCTTTCCGATGATGCTGGTAAGGCCTTATAGACCCCTATAAAGGCCTTGTAGACTCCTGTCTCAGGACTCGTAGCGACACCGTAGAAGTCCCTGGCATATGGAGACTCCCTGAACAAGGACGGAGAAGAGTTTGTACATCCTCACCGAGCTCATCACCGGGGGGCAGCTCTACGAACAGATGCGGGACCTCTAAGGGAAGTCCAAAGGTACGGCGTAGGGTTCAGGGTACGGCGTTGCTGTCATGCTTTTCTGCAAGGCTTTGCAATGGGGATGTAGGGGTTAGGGTATAGGGCTCAGGGTCAAGTGGTTCCTGGTATGGGTACCGGGCCGAGGGTTTGCCTCCAAGGGCTTCTGGAGCTTTCCACAACAGGGGTTGGCGGCCTCTCTGTTGAGAACATACGAGCACCTTCGTCGCGCAGGCCTCGAAAAATGGCAGCCGGAAGCCCCCTCCAAAAAATACCCTGCTGTCATGGCTCTGGGTCGAGACGATGCCCAAACCCAGAACGCTTCCGTTGATCACCCTTTTGTCGGGAGCGGCCACCGCTTGAAAAAGCCCAAGATTTAGGTTTAGGGGTTTAGGGGTTTAGGGGTTTAGAGTTTCGGGTTTAGCCCTCCCCGTGGCCCTGAGCCCCAAACTGACCGAAGAAAGGACAAGATGGGCACCGCCAGTCGCCGACATGCCCAGCCGGAGCCCAAGAGCTCTCAGTTTCCTGGAGCAGCGCAAGGACGAAGGTCGAGACTTCTTCCACCACAAGAGAAGACACCTCCCCCCAAAAACCCACGCAACAAAGCTCCAATGGAGCCCTTGATGAAAAAAGTTGGCAACAACCCCCCCCAACTTCAGACCTTCAGAGAGCCTCCTCCCTTGCTGTCAGGTTCTACACGGGCTCCTTGGTGCTCATCCTGGAGGCCCTGCACCTGGCGGGCGTGGCCTACAGAGACCTGAAGCCGGTTCCGCGGCTTTGTGATTTTGTTTCGGTGGGAGCTCGGGTGAGGAGGGTCCCCCAAAAAAGGGGCCTTAAGGATTACCGAATTACCCATACGATTTTTGGGGGTTCCTTGAATTATGACTATAGTAGAATAGACCCCCAAACCCTATTCTGATTAACAAGGCCCCTACCTTAGAAGGGTTTCTATGAGGGTTCCTATAAGGGTTCCTATCCGGGGTTTCGGCCTGGCGGAGAGTCAGCTTTTTTTTCAAGGCTTTGCAGGTGTGAGCAGAGAACCAAAACTGCCATCGCCCCGAAGCGCTACGCTGTAGACCCGTCGAAAGTCTGAAAGCCTTGGAAGCTTCAGCACTTCCGAGGAGAACGTCATGCTGGATTCCCAGGGCTACGTCAAGTTGGTCGACTTCGGCTTGGCGAAGGATGTCACAAGAGCAGTGATGGATTTGAGGGTCTAGGATGCTGTCGAAGCCGATGAGCTGAGGGCTTCCCGAGGCTCGTTACTTCCACGATCCTGCGTGTCGCAAGCCCTTCATTTCTATGTATATAAAATATATACACACACACATAGAATATACATAGATATAGGTTACATGTTGTATGATGGAGATATTCGCCAAACCCTAAACCCTAAACCCCAAACCCTAACCCCTGAACCCCTAAAGCCCTAAACTAGGACATGCGGGATCAGAGCAAGACATTCACCATCGTCGGGACTGCGCCTTGGCGCAGCCATCGGAAGACGCCACCATGTCCTGGGCCCTCGCATCCAGTACAGAAAAGCAGTAGATATAGGGTTTAGGGGCTTCAGGCTTTAGTGTTTAGGGTTTAGGGTTTCATGTAGTCAGGCGGTTGTGCAGTGGAATATACCTCCCGGTGGTGTGCTTTGGGGAGCTGACAGCGACCTCTCTCTGCAGGTCTCACATCCTGACTCCACCAACCTTGTTTTCTACTCGACCAAACTGGTCATCCACAACATCTAGGTTCAGTAGGCATGAGTCCGTAAAACAGATCTCGGAACCCAACCGCTAACTAGACCCCAAACCCTGGCCCAAAACCTCAAACCCCAAACCCA